AGGGCACATGAATCACCCAATAACCAAAATTCTCCAGATTCCAGAAATGATTGAAGACTCTGCAAGACAAGTTATCCCCAGGGATGCAGAGTTGATGGGTCCTGATTTCCAGCTGTTGCTCTGGTGTTAACACAGACCCACCCATCCATATTTGCATTATTCCTAAGTATTAGCACTTTTTGGACCATAGACATTTCTCTGAATGAAGGGACCCAAGGTGTTCAGGCTTCTACCTCCTTATGACTCCTGACATGGAGATCTTTTCTTCTTCTTCACTTGGACCTCTTCGTGGATCCTTGGGGCCCTTGGACATAAAATGGCTCATCTCTTCCACTCCTTTTTTTCAAAGCCATTAATTGATTGTCTCTGGTGGTGCCCACACCTATAACATTTTTAATTCAATTTAATTGCCTACAATGGGGCCTTTTCTTATACAGCATCTTCCCTGGCTTTTTTTTTAATCCTTATATACTTCACCCAGTACTTTTCATACATCATAAGAGAGACAGCATCCCCAAAGCAACTCTATTATTCCTCTCCCTAAAATAGATACGGAAGCTGGGAATTCATTTCAAAGAGGGCAGTCAGTTACATTTATGTAATACCTGTTATCCTTTATCCTGCCAGTCTGCCACAGAGCTTCACCTGAACTTTGGTTTGGAAATTCCATGGATTCTGGCAGATTATCCTCTGGTATTTCTACTCTCTAGTGCTGTTAAATTTTTTTTAAATCTCTTTGTGTTTTCATGAGGGCAAATCAAGAATCACTATTCTTTCCAGTAACTTATCCCAGATTTTCTCATTCGCATTTATGGAATGGTAATTTCAGTCTTTAAATACAAAGAAGTTCAATTTATGTACATTTTAAAAAATAACTTGAAGACTAACTTAATAATTCTTTGTAATATTATCTTCTCTTTCAGCTGAATTTTATTCTGTTTCTGAATACAGTTAGAGTTCTGGCTACCAAAATTTGGGAGACCAATGCAGTAGGGCATGATACAAGAAAACAATACAGGTAATTCCAGGATAGACGTCCATCAGAGGAAATATTTGGTATTTAGAGCGAAGAACAGATATCAATTGATCTGAAATGTCTCTAAGAGATTAAATTTGTGAATGTGTATTTTTGTTTGGTTTAATTGTGCCATGTTATCAGAAAAGCGTATATATATGGAAAATATAAATAACAATAAACCTTCCCAATGTGCTTAAATCCTAAATTTTTAAATCTGTTCTTAGCAATTAGGGTTTTACCATAAATTGTGTAACCTCCTAGAAAATCTCTTACTGATGATCTTGGTAGACATTTTTTTCGATATTCTATAATATGTCATAACTGAAAAAAAATCAAGAAAATGGATTTGCTATATTATTTCCAGTCTTTACATCAAATTGACACCTCTCATACATTAATTTTTGAAAACTTTCAAATGTACTGGTTAAAAGAGGTCTATTATTCAGTCTATGTTGAAGAAAAGGACAAATTGAGTATTTATAATCATTATCAAACTATTTTAAGAGTGTGTCCTTTTCTTCCAATTATCATTTTGGAAGTTCTGAATCATTTTGGAAGTGGCTTGTATCCAACTGGACACACACATCCACTAGTCAGGTGGATGTGTATTAGTTTGCTTCATTGAACCGAACAAGGGAGAGAGTCTGCTAGTAAAGTGAATGTAACAATCTTATGCAACATAGTCACAGAAGTGACACCCCACCATCTTGGCCACAATGGATTGGTTAGAAGTAAGTCCAAAGTCCTGCTCACACTCAAGCGAAGGGGATTAACAAGGATGGTTTAACAAAGATGGTTTAACAAGGTGAGGACCACTGGGCACCATGTAAGAGTTAGCCCACTAAATTGGAAACTGGGATTCCTCTAAATACATGAGAAAATGTGTATGAAGAGGTAGTTAAAGGAAATAAAATCAAATTGCTTAGTTCATGAAAAACCAACCAACCAATCCAACCTAGAACTATAGATAACCTGAGATAGAATATTTGACAGGGAATATTTAGGGAAGGCAAGAAGTATTGACCACATGTAGCTCATAAGAAAATATGAAATGACAGATGAAGATCCAAGTGTAAGAAGAGACTAGGGAGCAGTTGATTCTAAAATGAACAAAACAAGCCAAAATGCTGCCTCTGAAATAAAGACAATTAATGAGGATAGACAGTACTTCTTAAAGTCTCAAACACAGATGTTAAAGAAGACTTAGGACAGAAAAAAAGGCATTTCACAATTTTATGAAAATAGAATCCTTTCAGCAAGAAGAGTGGAGATGAGATTAGAGGATTTAGGAGATAATAATCATGAAACAGAATGAACTACCCGATTTAGTATAAAAGTGACGAAGAGGAGGGAGAGAAGGAAAAACTACCAGAAGCAGTGGGGTCCAGAGATGAGGAAACGCCAGTCCCTGTTAGCTCTGCTAAGCTTTATTTTTTCTGGCAAGTTGTCTCTCCTGAAAGGCACTCTGTGTTGATTAGTTAAAAGGCTGCTGTTCTCTCCCAGGAAACTCGCCAAATCGACGATGGTGCTGGTGCTGGTCTTCGGGGTGCATTACATCGTGTTCGTGTGCCTGCCCCACTCCTTCGCCGGGCTCGGGTGGGAGATCCGGATGCACTGTGAGCTCTTTTTCAACTCCTTTCAGGTAGAGAGTGCCAGCTAGTCACTCGATGCCTGTGTTTTGCTCTTTCACCCCCTCACCACCTGTTTCTCTGTCCCTCTCTCTGGCTTTCACACACTTGTCTCCCGAGGGCCATGGAAGGGGCTGTTCTCTGGCACCTGCGCTTCCCCATCCTGCGGAGATCAGGTTAACCTCTCACCGCAGCAGGAGCTGCCTCGGCCCTGAGACAAGAAAGCGTGTTATTGTAAACGATGGGACGCCAACCGAGCAGGAATCTCCATGTGTCTGTTTGGAAAGTAAATGAAAGCAAAAGAAGGGGAAGGCAGGCGAGAGAAAGAAAGGAAAAGGGAAACAAAAAGGAGGAGGTTGCTTCTACACATTTGGTCTCATTTGAAAACATGATTACCGTCATCCCTCACGTGCTTGGTTACAGATGTTTCCTGACTTCTTCCTGCTCCTCATTTGCTGCCTTAGATCTATTTGCTATACAATAGTGGGAAGAAGCTTAATAGGAAATCTGATCATGTCAGTAATCTGCCAGAAGTATCCAGAGCCTTTCCACTGCACTCAGAATAAAATCCAAATCCCGTTTCCTGATGTGCAGAGCCCTGTGGGGCAGGGACCCTGCCCGACGGTGACCTCACCTCACACCCTGCTCTCCATGGCCCGTGAAGTTTGAGCTACGCTAGTGCTTCCACACTTTCTGTTCTTCAAGCACATTCCTGCCTCAGGGGCTCAAACTTGCTGTTCCTTCTGCCTGTAATGCTCTTCTCTCTAATATTCATGTGGCCTGGCTTCTTCTCACTCAGACCAGCTTAAATGTCACGCCCTCTCAGAGAGGTCTTTATCGAGTTCTCCCTTTGACAGATGTTCCCCGTTTTCCTCTTTCAGCACCACTTGTTTTGCCTCATAGTCCTTATCATCTTACATGTTTCTCCTGTGGCTATTTGTTTATATTTTATCCTTTGTATTTCCTTCTAGAATGTAAGCTCTCACACAACAGGGACCTTGTGTGTCTCTATTAAATTGTTCCTCTCATGCTGAGCATTTCACATTGTATCAGCTCAATAAATATTTTGCAAGGAGCGAAAAAAAGTCTCTTTGTGTTTTCACCATACAATACCCTATGTCTGTAGTTTCTATCACTCACAGTGTATAAATCTCACCAACCAGGGCATGGTCTGTAATCCCTAAGTAGCAACACATGAAACGAATATAATAGAAATCAGGTCTTTGTGTATCTTGGAGTGTTTTATGAAGTTGTTTGGTTCAGCTGACACCAAGGGAAGATTTCAGACAAACTTCATGTATACTTAAGGATTTCATACATTAGGAGAGAATAATTTGTATAATTTTCTGAAGGAATCATTAAAAAAAAAACACCCCACAGTCTTTCAGCTTACGCATTTAGACACAGGACACTTCATAATTGTGGTCTTCATAATTAAAGTTACTTAATTAAAACATTCTATTTTCTTCTCCAGGGTTTCTTTGTGTCTATCATCTACTGCTACTGCAATGGAGAGGTGAGTTTGAAAGACCTCAGACCTCCTGCATGTCTTACTGTAAGTAAGCTTGTAAATGGCCTTCAGGATAAGACCTGAATCTCTTTAGGGAACCTCATGGGTTATACAGGACAGAAGGGACAGGGAGAAAGGAGATAATCTAGTCATAAATTATTTTGAGAAAGCAAGAATTGGTGTAAATAAGCTAAGGTCTTCCTCTTCCAAAAGTTTTAAATGTCAATTCAGTTGCAAACCTTGATATCAAAAATCAAAAAAACAAAAAACAAAACAAAACAAAAGTGCTGGAATGCAAATTAATACCTGGAAGGCAAGTGAACTTCATATTTCAGTCAGTGCTTCAACTTATATTTAATTTCAAGTTATATCTGAAACTCAGATGCAAGTTTCCCTGGGAGTAATGGATTCATTAGAACATGCTGACATCTTTTAAACTACAAGATGGTGGTGGGACAATTTCAGTTCATTTAGGAGTTGGCTGGAGAGAAATAATCATGTTCTTTTAGATGACATCTGCTTACCTGGTTTCCACTGCTTCCTGTGGACATTTCAAATAAGCTTGTGGAAAACTGCGATAGCAGTAGAACTGAATCTTCAGTGGCAAGAATGGAAACAAGAGCCCCACCTTATCAAGAATGTACTTGCAGTGCCTCCTTATCACGGTCCAATCCTCCTCCCACTTCCCTCCTGCAGTGTGCCTTGCAAAGCAATGGCGTTTCAGTTACATTTCAAGCTGAGTATCTTCCACGCCGTTCCACAAACTTACCCTTTTTCTTCACCAACCTGGAGTCCTCTTTTTCCTTTCCCATGAGTCAGGTATTGGCATGGGCTGTATTTCAGCTTCTATTAAAATATGAACCTTGGACACACCCCTTTGCCTCTCTCTAAGCCTCAGTTTGCTCCTCTCCAGTAGTAACACCTCTCAGGAAGGTTTTTGGAGGTTGAGAAGGAAAAGCACAGGTTTGAACTTTACAGGTCCACTTATACGCGGACTTTTTTCACTAACTGTGTCCTACAGTACTACACGATCTGGGGTTGGTTGGATGCACGGATGCGGAGCAGTTCAGTTGGAACCCCAGGTACAGCAGGCCACCTGTGAAGTCATAGGGGATTTTCTGCCACATGCGGTGGGCACCCCTCGCCCCCACGTTGTGCAAGGGTCCGCTGTATGTGTAAAGTCCCTGGCACACAGTGGAACCTTGTTAGTGATTAGCATTGTGTTTGAAATCAGGGCAAACACCCATCGGACATGGCTGCAATCTCTGATGGTTTCTGATGCACAATCTGGTGCTTGCGGTTTAGGTTCAGTCTGAGGTGAAGAAGCTGTGGAGTCGGTGGAATCTCTCCGTGGACTGGAAAAGGACGCCCCCATGCGGCGGCCACAGATGCGGCTCTGTGCTCACCACCGTGACTCACAGCACCAGCAGCCAGTCGCAGGTGGCGGCCAGCACGCGCATGGTGCTCATCTCCGGCAAAGCCGCCAAGACGGCCGGCCGGCAGCCCGACAGCCACGTGACTTTACCCGGCTATGTCTGGAGTAACTCGGAGCAGGACTGCCTGCCGCACTTGATCCACGAGGAGACCAAGGAAAGTAACGGGAGGCAGGGAGATGAGATAACAACGGAGGAGTCCTCCAGGCAACTAGAATTTCACCCAGACCATGAAGGGAGGAAAGGAGAAACTGAGGATGCTCTGTGAATGGAGAGCCGTGTCTTTGAAGAACTGGTCCATCGGGTAGTGTCGGAGGAGCTTGGTCGGCATTCTTCTGCTTGAGCCCCAGAGCTGAACATTCAGGGTTGAAGTGTTCACAGAAGTTTTCAGGCTCCATGAATTGGCTCCTGTAAATACTAACGCCACAAAAGAAGTGTCAGTGGAGTCGTTTATTACCTTATTTTGGCATTAAATTTTCTTCTGAATTGATGTGTGGTGCTTGCTCTGTGATTGCTCATTTTTCTGCTACTTTTGGGTAGAAAACGTTACAGCTGCTTAGCTCCAGTTTTCTCTCATAATATTACTCTAAATATGACAGAGATCAGTTAGTATGTGTCATTTTCCTTTTGACAAATTACTACTCTTTCTCTTTCTCACTTTAAAGTACGTCTATCATTGCATTCCTTTTGCCTGTACATCAGAGTAATGACGGTCTGAAAATGTACATGGAAAGATTAAAGATCTCGGAAGAAGTACACACTGGAAAATAACTTGGCTAGACTTTCATAAACTAATAAATCTGTGAGGACCTTGCTTCTAAGAAAATTACTCAAAAAATAATACTGTACATATTCCTCGTTTTGAATGTCCCCTCTGTGACCAGCCAAATCTCGAGCCTTTGCTCTTTTGTAAACCTTGATGTGTTATGAGGTTTTCTTAATCAGTGAGCTTGTGTCTGCAAACTGATTTTGTTTATAATCATTTATATTGAGAGCAAATCACACTGCATCTGTGCCTTTTTCTTCTTTGTTCTGTTGCTGTATTCCAAATGGCATGTGGGATAAATTAAAAATTCATTTCAAAAACACATTTTGGGCCACTTTTTAAAATTTACTCTTAGTATCTAACTTTTGTTTTTGAAAATCAACCAAATAGCCCTTCTCCGAATCTACAAAGATCAGCGTGTAGCTCTGGAACTCTGCTGAACTTGAAATTTCAGTATGTTGTGGTAGTGAAACAGGGTTGAATGCATGTTAGGTACCCAGCATCCTGCTGGGTTTCTACAAGCATTAACTCATTTACTCCTCAGCACAGACTTATGGAGTAAGTCTTACCAATGTCCCTTTTTACAGATGACAGCGTGACTCACAGAAGTGGAGTAACTTGCCCAAAGTCGCACAGCTAGTCACTGAGAGAACGTGGTTTCAGACACAGACCTTCAGACTTCAAGTCCCAGGTTCTTAACCATTATGCTATACCGTTGTCAATATATATATATGTATATATATATATATATATGTCGTTCATTCACCCAACAATTCAATGAATTCCTTCTGGGGAGAGAGTGCTTTAGGAACTCTTACTGTAATATTGTCTAACCTCTGACCCTCATGAAGTTTCCACTCTAATGAGGGAGCCAAATACAGACAGGAAATGAAAACATCATGCAGTGTGTTTTTCGGTGAAATGACACAGGTCAATCTGATCCACCTCATTTTGAGGAATGATTTAAATATGCAACTAGTATCATGATGAAAAAGGTACTCTGATGTCTGCACACCCTCTTGAAAAATATTGCGCTTTCTTCCCATGTTCATTCTTTCCTTCCTCCTCTGTAACGTACAGAGGTCATTTCCTTCCCATCCTGTTTACGAAGCTGCCATTGTGCATACTTAATTCATTTGATTCAATGCTATCCCGTCACATACTAATACTGCCTCCCTATTAGGAGAACCATCATGGGCTGAGCCAGTGATTAAGTTCAGTTTCATTGTTAATGCTGTGCAGGGCTTTACAAGTCATTTACCTTCCTTTGTAGCTCAAGTCCTCTATCTTCAAAATGAAGATCATATCTGCCTGCCTTAGAGAAATGCTCTGATGATAAGAGAAATCACATATTGAAAACACTTGGTAAAATAAAAATCCCATACAAATACTTGGTTTAGGTTGTCATTACATTATTGTTCAAGTTAAATGTCATTTTACCCCATAATATTATAAAAGGCTTCATTGGTCATTGCAACATAATAATTATTAGACTATACATATTTTGGTAATATGGAAAACATGCACGGTTCTTACCTTCTAAGCCACCCCCCAATTCTAAGGCTAGACCACTATTTCTTTACATTAACAAATATGACTAAAGCCCTCAGACTTACCAAGGTTTTCTTTAAAGTTTAATCATTCATTAATTGAACAAACCTTTACTTAGAGCCTATCATGTGACAGATACTATGCTACGTGATGGGGCCATAACAAAAAGTAAGGCATAACCTACTCCTTCAAGAAACAAAGAGCAACTTAGTTGCTAGGACTCTATCTCGAGTGTACACACATTTTTTCTTCCAGATTTTGATAACGTCTGCATCCAATTAGACAGTTAGGGCTGCAAGTTATACTCGTGTGTTGATTTTATCAAGTAAACTATTGAACAGTTACCAAGGATTGCCATTGAACTAGCACTCGTTTTCTTCCCAGCAACTGTTCCATTTTAGAAATGTAAATATTTAAACAGTTGAGTTTATTCAAAATTTGTAGAGGACAGGCTGATCTTTTCTAAAGAGTTATTAAATATTTTGGCTCATGAGTTGCATTCCAGTCTTTTTCTCTCTTTAGGCCTGCTCTGCCCATGTCCTCCACTCTTGGTCCCTCTTCCTGAGACACACAGGGAAACATTTGCTCAGTAAATCTTGTACCTGCTCTTCCCAGAAAGTTCTAGGCTGAACAGATGGGCTGTTTAGGAATGATATGGATAAACAATTAAGATACACCAGCTTTGTTTAAGGAATTGAGCTCAGTATTTTCACTATATGTAACATACTCAGTGTATATAGTACATATAATATATATTCTATAATCTTCATAACACACTATGCAACATTTCAAAAATGTCATAATAATCAAAAGTTAAATGATTTGCTTCAGATCAAAGTGGCTGAGTCAGGATTTGAACCCAGTTCAGTTTGCCTCCGAGGCCTCTGATTGTTCTCTTACCCATGTGGCCCTTTTTTACTTTTTTAATCAAGAGCCTAATAGTATGCCAAGTCAATGAGGGAATAAAAAAGAATTAGTTTCAACTGTTTTGATGGTAGAATTACCAATAGTTAGGGGACTGCAAAAGGAAATAATAACATGACTATAGTTTTTGATAAAAGCATTTTTATTGCCCAGTGTTTCATGACTATCAGAATAAAAAGTAACTTTTTAATCTAAGCTCTTTTAAAATTTCACCCAAAATATCTAACTAGAGATATAAAGGTCTAAATCCTGGTCTTAAGTTGCCTTGTGAGACCATGGAAAATTTGCCCACGTATTGTTGCAAAAATAACTTTGAATAACCTTCAATTACTCATCTTGATGGCTTTTAAAGATAACTTTTATGTAGGCTTCCATTTATTCACTATTATAAAAATCACTCAGAGCAATGGAAGTATCCATAATGGTGCAGAACCAGGCAAAATGGCAAACGTCTTTATCTCTCGTTGACTCTTAGTTTAATGCTGTTAGCATTTAAATTCAGGCCCTACTTCAGCCCCTAATCTCTTGCCAAACCACATTTCATTTTGGGAACTTATGTGGCTCATTTGGTTGATGATTCAAATCGCTGAACAGGAAAACAAATTTAGTAGATGAAGCTCTGAGTTTGTGTAACATTTTTTTCCATCTCTAGTACATGCAGCAGATTCTTGCTGACCAAAGACATTTCCAGAGTCTGGCCTTGACCTCCCCAGAGAATGGTAACAGAGATCTGTGCCTCCGAAAAATGCCCACCTGAGAGGCAAAAGGCAGGCACCCCCAGCTCAGCTTAATCCAGGGGCACTGGGGGCACTCCCATCCCATTCCAGTTAGGCCAGAATGTCTAACATTTTCAAAGCTGCTGTAACTTGGAAAGAATACCTCAGTAAATCACAACAATGCTTTAAAATCGGCACATGTATCAGACATGGCAATGCGTGATTTAATCTTGCTGGATCTTGTTTTGGGGTCTCATGAAGGGCAGAGTAAACCCAGGAAGTTTTCACAGGATTGTCTTTTTTTTTTTTTTTTTTTTTTTGCACTCAAAGAAAAGGGCTCTTTAAAATAAGACTACTTAAGCAAGTGCTGTTTCCTTGAAAAATCTCGTTTTAACATGAGAAAAACAACAGACAAACCCAAATTGGGGACATTTTACAGCACACTTGGACAGTACTCAAGACTGTCAAGGTCATGAAAGAGGAGAGAATATAGACTGAGAAACTGTCACGGTCAGAGAGGATGGAGAGATGTGACGACTAAATGCAGTGTGTCACGCTAAATAGGGTCATGGGACAGGCAGAGGAGAGTAATGTCAAAACTGGTAAAATCCAAATAAAGTCTGGAGTTCAGTTAATAGTAAATGTGCCAGTGTTGTTTTCTGAGTTTTGACAAGTGTACAATGGTAACATAAAACGTTAACAAAGTGGGGAGCCCCTTGTTCGGTAAGGGGTGTCCTGGAACTCTCTGTACTATCTCCGCAATTTTTCTGTAAATATAAAACTATTCCAAAATTTTAAAGTCTTTAAAAGCCTCATTTTAGCAAATTAGGAATAAATTTAGGAAATCAGTATAAATACTATAGTCTAACTCCACTTGAATTTTTCCAAGTCAAATATTTGATATGATTTAATATAAGCTGACATATACCAAGAATCACACACCAGGATCCTTTGGCTTATAAATATATCTAATATTAAACCCACTTTTGTGAATACTTAATAATTACTGAATACTTTTAATCTGAAAGTATTAAATCTTTGTTTTAGCTATTCCCATAGCAAACTTTCTTCCTCTTTCACATTAAGTAATTACAATGTAAATTTTCTAGTTACAGTCTAACCTTAAGGTTTTTAAAGGTTTTGAAAAAATAGTAAATGCTGAAAGTGTGGGCTGGAGGCCTTAGCTTTGGAAATTCCCATCTTGTCACTATCCCTTCTCTGGTAAAGCCTCTCCTCTCATCTTTTGAATGCTATTTTTATTCTAGTTGAATTTCTGTTACACTGAAGAGAGCTGGAAAAAGGTCAGACTTGGAGCTTACATCCTGTAGTTTTATTATATTGGTTGTGACATCATCAAGCATATAACATGTCCTCTTCGCCATGTTTCCTTTTGGCAATTTCCCTTTTGTGATTATCAGCTTCTATAATGCAATCAAGATTACATATTCCCCTTCATAATGAAGTAGTCACAATAATTCCATTATTTTCCTTTCATCATCATTTTTACACCTATATACATTCACTGATTACAGTCGGAGTTAAGTAATGTGTGGAATTTCTTCTTTGTCGAGTTTTAGACTGTGCCCTGCAATCTTGGAAATTTCCAGCTGAGCAATGGTGATAAGTCCACTCTTTTGTTTAAGCAACACCTACTGAACTCTGATTAAAAACCATACGTTTAAGATGCAGAAGTAACAGTCTATCCCTCCTCTCAAGAAGCTCACAGTCCAATGTAAGGGCTCCTGTGAGAGAAGACAGTAATGGAGGCCCAGAGAGAGGCACTTGGTTCAGACAGAATGAAAAGAAGGAACAGCAAAAGGAATAACATAGGTGAAATTGCCTTTTAAATCATGCATGCTCAGTAAATAGCTGCATCAGCTTATAAGTATCAAGCACACCTGGTTTTCTAAAAAGAAAATGTGTATTCTTGCTCCTAATGAACATCTTATTGGCATTTATAACAAATGCCTCATACAATTAGCACCAATTCTCATAGCTTATAAACACTACACCTCCCTTACAGGGAGGCAGGGGAGGTAACGCAGAATCTCTAAAGAAGAGAAGTGAGCAGTCAGACAAGGAAGGAAGGTGTTTTGGGTAGTTGAAAACACAGGTGAAAAGCTACAAAAGTGTGTGAGAGTGGGGCACATTCAGGGAAATTCCAGGGTTTCATGCTGAAGTATGAGCTGTGAAGAAGACGACGTCAGAGCTGAGCTGGAGAGGGAGGCAGGGAACTTACTGGGAAGGACTTTTATCCATTGCTAGAATTTAAAGGGAGTAAGGCATCCCTAACAGATGTAAGCAAGTGTGTATTTTTGAAATAACCCTCAACCTGTATGAGAGTGAGCTAGAAAAAGTTTAAAAGGAGCAAAGAAAGCAGTTAGGAGGTGACTGCAATGATATAGGTGAGCTACAACAGGATTCTGAAGGATGACATGGGCAGTAAAAATGGAGAGAAGGTACCCCGTGGAAATTTCGGTATAGGCCATTTCGCTTTTACCAAAGACCTACATTAGTATGCACCTGTTTTTGTTAACTGAAAGAAATTTGAAGAGAATATTCACTTTTATGCAAAAAAGACGAAAAGCAAAAATAGCGTGCAGCATTTGTTTTGCAGCCAGAGGCGGAGCGCACCCAGAGCAGTGAAGGTGGGACCGCCAAGCTCTTTCCCTGGGAACTACACTCAGCATCGCGGCATCAGGTCGCCAGAGCTTTGAACTGTGTGTGAGCATCTGTGTTTTATCTCAGTTTTTGCGCATCCCTCGGCAAGATGTGTCCTAAGGTAAGTGCTTCCTTGCTTTACACCATTTCACCTTATGAAAGGTTTCATGAGAACGGTCTTCTTTTGGATGGGGAGTGGGGTGGACACCTGTATTCAGGAGGTAGAAGGCAGTTCCAGTGTTGGGCATGCTGAATTTGAGACTTCTTTAAGTCAAGGTAGCCTGAGGATGGGAGCAGAAGGAAAGACAAAGGAAATTTCCTCTGAGGCAGAGAAATTGCTCTCTGCCACGGCTCCCACAACCATTCCTCCAGAGCTCTGCTGGCTGTACCACTGAGACCTTCCTAAGTATTGCCTATCAGGTTTCAGCTCCAAGAAAAGAGCCCTAGTCCAATACTTTAAGGCTGTTAAAGGATGAAATGAGCCTCGATGGAAGGTGGTAATCTCCCTCCCTGTGGAGGCATTCCCGCAAAGTGGTAACCAGCTGTAAGGAGCTGGTGAAGTATTCATGAACAATGAAAGGAATATTAAGTACCAAAGCCTCTGAACTCCTTTCTGTTTTCCTAATCCTGATCAGAAATAGCAGAACTGTGTAAATCTAAAAAGCATTCAAGTAAAATGGTAGGTTCGAATCCAGCCACGATTGATGGCGATAAAGGGAAATTAGGGATTCAAACAATGATACTG